TATGAATGTAAGAATCAATAGAAGATAAAGAATGTCATCATACAACAATGATTCTTAGTATTCACAATATTTAATCAATCTTTTACAACTTTGGACAATAATAGTACTCTTCAGTTACATTATTCTCTAGTGTATTAATTGGCCCCTAAAGTGCACATTGCCTGCATACTTTTCAAGCACCTCTCAACAGTACGTACAGAACTGGCACAGTCACAGCAAATGCAGCACATGTCAAGACTGTATTGTATAGACTTGTTTTGTTGATCTGGGCCTCCAGCCTTTTCTCAGTTTGACCGAGACCTTGAACGACTGTCTCTGTATCGCATACAAAGAGCTGCGTGTCTCGGGTTTGAATGACTGGCTTCTCCACGGGACGGGACTGTAGGGTCGTCTTGACCGCCTGCAGCTCGGTCTCAACCTTCCCCACGTTCTCCTCCAGATGCTCCAGCTGCGGTTTAAGGCTTTCAATGAGCCCTTGGGCTCTTTGGCTGTGTTGGAGAATCTCTTGAATCGCTTCTTCTGAAGCACTGGATGCAGAAGTTGGGACGACGGCAGCTGCTGGCAGAACAAACGCTGGTTTGGCTGTTTTCACATCTTTTACGCTGCCTTTCAAAGCCATCCTGAGTGAGTCGATGAGGTTGCTGAGTTCATCTTGTTGCATTTTGTGCATGCTGGCTTGGACCTTGATGGCTTCTTGAAGACTCACCGGTCCCTTCTGGGCCTCCAGCAACAAGCTCTTGAGTTCCTGCAAACGTACCCGGTTTATATAAGTGGAGCCCATTACCCCAATGACGGCGCCCAACACCGAACCAATAATGGACCAGTTTTTGGTACGTTCGGCCCTGGTCCTCTCTTTCTCGTGGCTCCCTCGCACGGCAGCAGAGAAGAGCGCAAACTTCTCTCGCTCGCCGCCTTCTGCGTTCTCATAGGCCGTTCGGAGACGCCGTTCTTCCTGTAAACGACAAAAACGTAAAAGGGAAGGTGCAATTGTGCAATCCATAAACGTATAGGGCTGGGCGAAAAAACGATAATGATAATTATAGTTTGATACAGTGGTTATGCACCAAAAGCAGAATGAAACAGCGCTATCTTATTTGAACCGCACCACACTTACCGTTTATCCGCTCGGCTTACAGTTCAAATGGCAGCTTTCTAGCGCAGATGCATTTACTCGCTGATAAGTCTCGGTCATGCAAGCACTTAGCGCTGTGAGATCCAGTGTGAAGCGCTTAAGTTCAGCGAAGAACACAAACGACTTTAAAGCCAGATGAAACAGCGCTGACAAACAGGAGAAACACTGTGTGCAACGATAGTCAGAAGGATTTTCAGTCTATAAATCGCCATCATTTACCAAGGCTTTACTGTTTTATCACTAACTGCACCATGGTATTATGGCAGAAATAAGGGATATTCATACAGAATTTTATTATATTATTATGTAGACATGTATCAAATGTATAAAAGGAGTAATGGAATACAGTATTTTGGTGATTAAGCTATAGCGTTTGTGCATTAATACTAAATGTATTTAGACTACTGTTTTTCATTCAGATCCCTAGAAACCATACAGCTACATTTTTACCATGGTATTGAGGTGCTATATGTGAAGTTTTAACTGTGGTTATCATGATCTAAATGTATGCTACTATGGAAGACCAATGGTTAATTTTAATAAAACTCAAAGAGTCACAATAATTACATTTCACCATAAAAAAAATGAGGTTGTTACAATTTTTACAGATGTTACTGTTTTTGATAATGAACTTAATTTTACATCTGCAACCTAACTCAAGCTTCTACTACTGTTAGTCAACTCAAGCTACTGTCAAATGTGCATTTCTAAGAGACAAAAAAAGTTGAATATTAAAAATGTTTAATAGACAAATCATAATTATTAATATTGCAGCCCGCACTGCAAACTGTGCTGAAGATTATGATTAGAAGTTATGCTGTTTCATGATTAGAAGTTAGAATGTGCAGAAACTAAGAAATTTTATTTTTCTATCAAGATATTTAATTTGTTAAGGAAAAATGCCTGGAAATGTGTAAAGAATTCAGACGTTTTTGTCATGTTTTGACCATAAAGAGTAGTTTAAAACCACAATTAACTGTCTGGTTTCTACAACTTTCACTTAGGGGCAAAAATCTGCCTTTGAACTTGAAATTTATTGTGATAATTATCGATGTCGACTGATATGAAACATTTGATTGTGATCATTTTTGGCCATATCGCTCCCAGTCCTATATGCGTACATTACTAGGTCCACCTCACCTGCAGTAACTTATGTTCCAGTGTGGCTAACTCTAAGTAATGTGCCTCTTCACGAGACACGCGGTCCAAACGGTCCCTCACTTCCTTCAGCCGAACCTGAAGAGCCTCCAGGCTGGCGTGAGCTTCTCTGACGATTCCTCTGGCGACCATGAAGGCCTTTTCAGCCTAACAGCAAAACATAATTCAGATTATACTGACATTTAAATGAATCCAACAGTGATTATGCTTACATGCAATAACTAGGTTAGTTAGAATGAATCCAAAAGGTAGCCTATTTTTGAATCCGATTTCGAAGAAATGTCATTTGGATTGAGCACAATGAGATCAATTGAGGTTTTTACATGAAGGCTTCTCAATTTGATTGAGCCACCAATTTGATTACTTGGATACATGTAAGCGTAGCTAATGAAAGGTGCATCTTTCATGTTTTGTTTGCCATACATTACCTCAGTGACATTGGACTGAGCATCTCGGACTTCATTAAGCCCGACAAACTCCTCATATCTCTCCCACCAGTAGTTGACGCTCACTGTTGCGGTTTTCATTGCATTTCGCCTCCACTGCCTTCCCAGCTCTCCTGCGTACGTAAACGCAGATGCTGTGCGCTCTTTAATGGATGTAACTTTATTGGGCTCATCTTTGGGACTTTGCTGCTGGGTGCAGTAACTTCTGTGGAGGACCCACTGGACCGGGCCGGACACCTGGTGTCGGTAGAGACATGTGGAGACATGGCTGCTTGGAAATACAGTGTTCCCTCTGAACCTCATTGAAGAGCTTCATATGTGGAGCCGACGCACGTCAAATATGCAACCTGTAAACGTAATAAAAATGATTAATGAGATGGTATCCCCACATGAAAAAAAAACTATAGTAATTTATAGTAAATACTAGTGTTTTTGAACCATGGTATAGTAAAGTACTAGAATTAATTTGTTGTGGTAATTCTATAGTTGCTGTGGTAACAACTATAGTAATATAAACAAATTACTGTACTAAGTTCTCTACAACTATAGGGTATATTATACTACAATACACTACAGTTTACTGTAGTAAAAGCTAAAGTATACTACAGTATGTATTATCAGTTCTCTATAGTTAATACTACAGTATGCTGCTGTAGCCTTCATTAACAAGGTGTTGTAAATGCTATAATATACACAGTATAATACACTTTTCAGTACCATGGTTTAAAAACACTATAGTATTTACTATAAATAGTATTTTTTCATGTGGGCAGTGATGTTTTTTTAGCTGAACTAGCTAACTTTATTTGTATTTGCAAGGCTACAAGAATGGATATAAAAAAACATGTATTAGGAAAGGAGCAAATACATCAAATAGACGGTTAACAATATTAAATTGACTAAATAGGTCATTGAACTGAATTTAGTTTCGGATTCAGTTTGCATTTTTCAACGTCAGAAACGCAACATAACGTTAAAGTAATGTTGGTAATTTACTTCACAAGTGAATCACACAGGAACACAAATAATTATGTTCAAAGTAAGTATGATACGCTGATGTTGCTGTTATGTGTGTGATTTTCGAGCGGATGAATCGAACAACTAATGTCTAACTGAATTAATTTCAGAACCAACCAAACTCATACCAGCGTTTCTCCGTTTCGTCCCGTTTCTGCTCGGGTCAGTAATTTCTCATGTTTACAGGCTGAACAGTATATAAAATATCAGTCAAATTTCCTGAAATGTCATTCTGCGGCATGAGAGAGCATTTATTTCAGGCACAGACTGGTGCTCTTTTCGATAGATTATTTTTGAACGATTCAATTGAACCGATTCGCGAATCATAAATAAATCCCTCGGCTGTCTATAAGATTTTTTTTTATTATTGCATTAACCAATCATTTAAAACAAACAACAGTAGGTAGATTATAAGATTAGGAATAAAACCGTGAGGTTGACTCAAATTTATCAAATTAGCTTTTGAACCAGTTCATTTCCTCTAACCGTCCGAACGAACCGATTCGCCTAAATGAATCAGACACTTGACCGGAACACCACATCCGGGTAACCGCTGAGGTCAAGACAGCGCGGAAAAACGCATTAGCTAAACAATCTGAGCATCATGTCTGGAAGAGACGGTAAAAATTAAAACACAGACGCTAAACATGACTATTTCATCATGTAGAATGTGGTATGAAATACAAACAAGAAGTTACGATGATTTTTTAGGCTCCTTATAAATTGTAAACTTGTTGATTTTCTAATCTTTGTGTTCACGATGCTATCAGCATTAGCCGGATTAAGACATTCCATATTGTAATGAATGGGTTAGCTCGGTGTTGGGTTTCTCTTTTTATCGTTACAATGAAAATCTATTTTAAATTCATTATTTATTTTAATAAATGTGTATATTAAACTTTTTACATTTTTATTTATCGGTGTTAAAATGATATCCAAATACTTATTTTTGCAGGAGGTAAAAAGAAACCCCTCAGAGAGCATTTCTTTCAGGCACAGACTGGTGCTCTTTTCGATAGATTCTTTTTGAACGATTCAATTGAAGCGATTCGCGAATCATAAATAAATCCCTCGGCTGTCTATAAGATTTTTTTTTTTGATTGCATTAACCAATCATTTAAAACAAACAACAGTAGGTAGATTATAAGATTAGGAATAAAACCGTGAGGTTGACTCAAATTTATCAAATTAGCTTTTGAACCAGTTCATTTCCTCTAACCGTCCGAACGAACCGATTCGCCTAAATGAATCAGACACTTGACCGGAACACCACATCCGGGTAACCGCTGAGGTCAAGACAGCGCGGAAAAACGCATTAGCTAAACAATCTGAGCATCATGTCTGGAAGAGACGGTAAAAATTAAAACACAGACGCTAAACATGACTATTTCATCATGTAGAATGTGGTATGAAATACAAACAAGAAGTTACGATGATTTTTTAGGCTCCTTATAAATTGTAAACTTGTTGATTTTCTAATCTTTGTGTTCACGATGCTATCAGCATTAGCCGGATTAAGACATTCCATATTGTAATGAATGGGTTAGCTCGGTGTTGGGTTTCTCTTTTTATCGTTACAATGAAAATCTATTTTAAATTCATTATTTATTTTAATAAATGTGTATATTAAACTTTTTACATTTTTATTTATCGGTGTTAAAATGATATCCAAATACTTATTTTTGCAGGAGGTAAAAAGAAACCCCTCAAGGCTCCCAAAAAGCAGTCGAAGGAGATGGACGATGTAAGTTCACCTGTACATTGAGGTTTCTGTTGAAGTGTTTCGACATAAACACTGAGATCACGGTTTGTGGACAGAGATGAGCTGCTTAGAGTGAAGTAATGACTAGGGAACATGATTTTGAAATACTGCTTTATACATTTTGTTTACCGGTTTAATCCCCTACAGGAGGACATGGCTTTCAAACAGAAGCAGAAAGAGGATCAGAAAGCTATGGAACAGTTGAAAGCCAAGGCTTCTGGAAAAGGACCTTTAAGTAAGAGACATAAAGCCACCAGAAATCTTTCTTTATAGTTTGAGTTTTTCTTTTGTCAACAATCAATTCTGTTTTGTTCTCTTTCCGTAGCTGGAGGAGGAATCAAGAAGTCTGGGAAGAAATGAATGTGTTTTAGTGTTTATATGTACACCAACTCATGATTTGGGCCCACACTGGCGACGTAAAATGACTTTTTTTTTAGTTTACATTTCTCTTGTAAAGGAATAAAGTTTGTAATGACTGCAAATTTCAATTTCAGATGTTTAATGTATTTGTGAAACATTCATATGACATTCAAAGCTCGTGAAAAATAACTACAATATCCGAACGTTTCAAGTAAACTTCAGTCTCATGTAAACAATCACAGAAGTGTTTGTACAAGCTTATCCATCAAATGTTCCATCTCACAATATCATCTTTGTTCAACCTAAACACAAAAACTTGTGTTTTTAATCATTTTGCTGCTGTCCGTGTCTCTTGCATTTGTTTAAGCTGCTTTTTTTAGTTCAGCTTCACTTGTACTGGATAGTGGTCACTCACTCTCAGCGCCTGTGGAGAAGATACCTGTGCTTTAGTAAAATGCTGATCAAGTCCTCTCCAAAACAAATACATTCTGTAAGCTAAATGTGCAGTAATAAGTAACTCAAGTCTTTATGGTAAGTGTGATTAAAAAGCAAGGGTTTCAATTCAAATAAAAAATTATTCTTGTTTACTTCCGTATCTGTTAGACTGTAGGCCGTCTGGAAGTTGAATGATTTCGCAGACTAGTACAACAGCATTCCACATACCGTCTCCATATACCACAATCCTGTGCATGAATATGTGTCACATTAAAGAGAGTGGCATCAAATCAAATTCATTAGTTTGTGCGGTGTGATTATTTACCGATCGTAAGTATATCTGTTGTTGTTGCTGGCTGTGGTGTCCACACCATCCTCGATCAACCAGTGGAAGTTTCTCCCCCAGATTCTGTTTTTTTTCTTGGCTGCTTCGGACAGATATGTGCCATCTGCGTTGAAGTCCCCCAAAATCATGATGTTCTGTATCGATAAGTATATTAAAAAATGTGCTGTATCAACAATTTTTTTTTTAGAACAAATAATTCTGGCATTGGATGCTGATTGGTCAAAAAAATGTTCCGGCTGTTCTTAATTCCACAATACAGTAACAGTTCTATGTCTTCAAGACTAAATCTAACAGAATGATGACATTTAATAAACATTCTATAAACTTCATATATGTATTATTTTGTAACCATTTTGTTAAAGGAATAATGCATGGCTTCTAGTATCTTATTACTTTATAAATAGTATATTGAGGGTTTGGAGCCAAAGATGAAATCGATAAGTGAAAATATATTATGAATGTAGCTGCTTGTGTTGTCTGGTCTTGATTTGTGTTTTACTTTAGTCTTACATTTCTTCTTGACAGCTTTAAACACATCATACAGTTCGTCAAGTTCCCTCTCTGCATCATCTGGCTTTGTGTGGACTGGTATCATCACCAAATCTTCCAACTCTGTTGAGACATGAGTACAATTAATTTAAATTAATTAACTTGTGTCCACATACACACACCCTCTGTTGGAGCTCAGCCACTGACATTTCTGTTTCAATTGTTTTGACTGTCAATTGCATAAATTGTGAATGATGTTATTACAATTTGATTTTTATCATTTTCTTGAAGCTTGACTTTATAGTCTGCTGAAAGGTCTGGGGCCATTGAAAATGTTGAAAAATATGCTGCATCGTACAATACTGTGCCAAAATCATGACTCTTTTAACCTATAATTTGTTACACTAAAATAATAATAGACAATTACAGCACATCTATGCCATACTTTACCTGTGTTATGACATTTGAATCGCAAAACATACGGTTCTCTGGCGAAAGCATCTTCATCTCCAGGCTAATTGTTTTCATATTGGTAAGGCCCGACCAAATCCACCACTTTGTCCCTTTATATTGAAAATGCAGTTATAAGCATATATATATATATATATGAAGACTTCAGATGCAAAAACCTCTAAGTCCGTCTGAGATTTTTGTTTTAAATAAGCTTTTTTTTTATCAGACTCTTATGAAAATATCATTGGACATTTTTTAAAGTAAGGCATAACCAACTAATAATCTTTTCTTTGCCAGTGAAGTGAAATTACTGAACCTTAACATTGGAGCCTGATAAAAATGCTCATTTTAAAGAAACAGACAGACTTAGAGGACTCGCATCTGAAGTATTCATCTTATTATACCGTACTCCTTCATTTTTTCATGTTTTGTTATGTTGCTGCATTATGCTAAACTGCTTTAAATTACTTTTTCACATCAATCTACACTCCATACACTATAAGGACAAAGCAACAACAACAAAAACATGTTACAACTTAGAACATTTATTATAAAGGAAAAACTGAAATATGTACATTGCATAACTATTCAATATTCATACCCTTTTCTGGGACACTTGAAATGTAGCTCTTATGTGTATGTATACACACACACACATATATATATATATATATATATATTAGGGCTGTCAGTCGATTAATCTAATTAATTACATGATGTTTCGATTAATTAATCACAATTAATCGCAAAATAAATTTGACTGTGAAAATACCCACAAAAGATTATTTCAAGCTATTTTTGTGTTAAATGAGAAAGTATCAAGTAGACATTACAAATTGTAGCTTTAGAAATATTTTATTTGATTAAACATAAAATTTATTACACATAAACATTTAGGCTACAACGGATTCAACAATTCTGCTGTGGCTTTAAAGGTAATTATGTTCAAGCGACAGCTGAAAACTCATCTCTTTCGACGCTATTTGACTTCATCCTAAAAAAAAAAAAAAGCCTAAAACTTAGTATTGCGAGCACTTCCTGTGTCTGTTTGCCTCTTTAAGAAGAATCGTTTTATGTAGGCCTTTCCCCAATTGTAAGTAGCTTAAAAGCGTCTGCAAAATGACTAAATGTAAATGTAAATGTTCTCTGCAAAATTGAGCAAAAATACATAATATTGTGTTTAAAATATAACACAATATCAACTTCTTATTTACTGAACTGTTGTATAAAATCACATTTAAACTCGTGATATTCGGGACAAACAGCACTCGTATGATATTGCTCTCGCTGCTCATGTCACATTGGTGTGGTGTGATATCGCTTATCATATCATGATGTAAATATTAGACAAAGACACATACAGGGGCAATTTTGCACCAATATCTAGAATTTTAGGGCATAACTGCATTTACGGAGTTGTTGCTCTGCATCATATTTGTCAACAGTCAATGTAAGATGAAGTACAGGTCTGCGGGCGGGGCCAGTGGGTTAACTGCGTTAAAGTCTTTTAATCGCGTTATTTTTTTATAAATAATTAATTAAGTTAACGCTTAAACTGACAGCCCTAATATATATAGCCGACTATTTTGTTTTGTAATATCGTTTTTCATTGAAAAACACATCTGGCTGACTCACTGATTCAGCTCTCTGAGAAACTTTTCCACTGAATCTCCGCTAGAATCCACCACCTCGAGAATAACGATGATGTCGTAGCGTGACGCTATCTGAAGAAATGGAGCGACGGTAAAACACATTATTACTCTGTCTGCATACACACCACACTACTCCTTCCATGAAGGATTATCAGACATTAAGATGAATATCATGATACAGAATCAGAGAATCATTTAAGAGGAAGTTCACTGGCAAGTGTTCGTCAAGCTTGATGTTTTGCAGCCCATCATGGCTTTTCTGTAGGTGCGGCCTCACCTTGATCAGAGTTTCCCGCACAAACTTATCAGAGAGTTTTTCTCTCCCAAATTTCCGGACGTTGAAAGACGCGACCTTCATGATGCCTGTCAAACATGAAATTAAGAGGAAAGCGAATTAGACAGATAATGCAACAAGCCAATAAATGATATTTCTGAGATGTTCGTTTGTTTGAATGATTGTTTCTTTTATAAAAATTATGCTCAATGGCAATACAAACATGAATACAGCCCATATAAAACAATGAATATAATATTTAGATAGATATACATGCATCTTCAAAACAAAGGTATTCACAATGGTCTAGTGTAAAGTTCCTTCAACTCATCTCTATACTTGCATTTCTGGCCATGCGTACTGCCGTCATGACCTTTACACATTCATGAATGTCTTTATCATGCAGCTGTCAACAAGTACAGTGAAACATCATGCTCTATTTTCTTTGAACACTGTTGCAATCACTACATTCCTTTTAAAGCAAAGGCAAGCGGAAGAACCTGTTTCAGGAGTCGCCAGAGCGGTTTATGAAGAATTTGGGCATAAAAGAGATCACTAGACGACTCTTTAAATGGTCAAATGAAACCTTAAAATACGTTTCATTTTGTCTAGTAGACAAAGATTTGAAATGTCAAAGGAACTCTAAAAGGGTAAATCTGATCAGTTAGAGAAGATAAACAAGTCTATTCACAAATCACCAGAGTTTTCTGCAGAAAAGAGAAATCGCATATGGACGACAATCTTTCGTGAACATGACACCACCAACCCCGTGAAACAGTGGACAATGGCTGTAGTTCAAATCCAAAGTTATGTATTTCAAGTGGTTTTACGTTCCGTTTCGTTCAACATCTCACAAGAAAAGACAAGTTTAGGGGCTTTATTTCCATGATTCCCATCTGTGGGTGTGACTGAGAGGATGTTTTTATAATTCAAGAAATATATATTAGAATATTTGTAAAACAACATGGCAAGAATATAAATACATGAGAACCTTGCTTGATTCTCAGATGCTTAAAAAAAAACAGTAAAAATTGTATAAGATTTTAAGAATCCACAAACAAAACTTAACTTACCCGAGCACTGGTCCAAAGATACACTGAAGAAAAGGACTGTAGAGATTCCTAAAAACAGCAGCATTACTTCTATTGGACACCTGTGACCTGATTGGCTAGATGCAGGAACCTGTCGAGTGATTTGGCCCAGCCCCAATTTTGACAGACCTCGAAACAACAAAAGAGTTCCTCTCTCTATGGGCTCATAGAGAGAGCAAACATTGACTCGGAAGTGGAAAGTGTGTGGGTGAGTTCAGACAATACAATCATCCTCATTACAGCCACAACATGTTTAAAGTTGCATTGAAAGGTGGAGAAATAATTGCCAGGTTGGACAGAATGATATTATGTACTTGTTCGACAAAAAACAAGTTCATTAGCACTAACCATCCAAACAAACCGATTCACCAGAATGAATCAA